CTCCAGCACCTCGATGTCCTTCTTGTAGTGAGGGGCCCAAAACTGAACACAGCACTTGAGGTGCGGCCTCACCAGTGCCAAGGACAGAGGCAGTATCACCTCCCTGGTCCTGCTGGCCACACTATTCCTGATGCAAGCCAGGATGCCATTGGCCTTCTTGGCCACCTGAGCACACTGCTGGCTCATGTTCAGGTGGCTGTCAGCCAACACCCCCAGGTCCCTTTCTGCCAGACAGGTCTCCAGCCACTCCTCCCCGAGCCTGTAGCATTGCATGAGGTTGTTGTGACCGAAGTGCAGGACCCGGCACTGAGCCTTGTTGAACCTCATACAGTTGGCCCCGGCCCATTGATCCAGCCTGTCCAGGTCCCTCTGTAGGGCCTTTCTGCCCTCCAGCAGATCAACACTTCCACCCAACTTGGTATCATCTGCAAACTTACTGAGGGTGCACTCAATCCCCTCATCCAGATCATCAATGAAGATATTGAATATTGTGATATATATTACACTAGGTTAAGCATGCCTTCAGAATATGCTCTTCTGCTCTCAGTTGACAGCAGATGAGGAGAGAGAACAGGAATATGCTGGCTGCTGCGATAAGGGTCTTACCTGTGAGATGTCAGCACCGCTGCACAGCCATCCTGAACTTCCTTCAGGATGGTTTTCCAAAGGTAGCGTTTAGAGCAGGGATCCATCCCAGAGCTGGGCTCATCCTACACGAAAAATGAAAATGATGATACAGCGGCACGGGAAAAACATGCCACAGCTCCAGCCCAGCATGAAGAATTAACAAAACTCACAATAAAATAATATATTTTTCTCTAAAAAAGCTACATTTTCAGGAGGTCACTTAAAAGACACCTTGATCATTTTTTTGCTTTAACACATATAGTTTCATTTCTAAATTTATAGAAGGCACTTTTTATTTAGGAGATTTATATATATAAAAGTAATATGTTTCTATATTACATAGTAATATAATAAATATGTTTTTATTTACAAATATATATATGTTTAATAATATATATACACACATATACTTTTTTTAATAGGAGAGACTTGCAGGTATTTTTCATAGAATCATAGAATCCTTTAGGTTGGAAAAGACCCTTAAGATCATCGAGTCCAACCATTAACCTAGCACTGCCAACTCCACCACTAAACCATGTCCTCAAGCACCACGTCTACCCGTCTTTTAAATCCCTCCAGGGATGGAGACTCAACCACTTCCCTGGGCAGCCTGTTCCAATGCCTGACTACCCTTTCAGTGAAGAACTTCTTCCTAATATCCAACCTAAACCTCCCCTGGCGCAGCTTGAGGCCGTATCCTCTCGTCCTATCGCTTGTTACTTGAGAGAAGAGACCAATCCCCACCTTGCTACAACCTCCTTTCAGGTACTTGTAAAGAGCCATAAGGTCTCCCCTCAGCCTCCTCTTCTCCAGACTAAACAACCTCAGCTCCCTGAGCCACTCCTCACTTTCTGGGAGGCTTTGGTGTCTGTTTCTCCCGTACACGCACATCTGCCATGAACATAAACAAGTGGAGAAGTCCTGTAACTCCCAGCTGCCTGCACTGCCCATCCCATAGACACGTGTGGCTAGTATGTTTGCATTTGACATCCTCCAGTTACTCCCAGAGTCCCTTTGAGAGGAACTCTCATTCATGGTGGAGAGAATCCACAAGATTAAATAACAACCCAATCAGTGCTGCCCAATGCAAACCATCTGGCAAACCGATTTCCCACTCGGATGGCTTTCATGGAGAAAGAAGTCCAGCTACAAAAACTACATTTCCCCTTCCTGTCTAATCCTGCTGTCTTCACTAAATCAAATTTTGACTTCATCTACTTGTGGAAGCAGAAGGAATGATATCTGATTGTCAGAAGCCAGACTCTGTCACTACAAAACTAGTGAGAAGGAATCTCTTCGGGTAGCTATTTATACTATGGAATTTCATGATGGGTGTCAGCACCTATTAGGGTGGTATGGCCTTGGCCAATGTATTTGCAGCAAAGAATCTCACCTGAAACCTGGAAGCAAAGTTCTCAAGAAACAAAGCAAACAAAACACCCAGTTTGATGCTGATTTTGGTGCTTAGATACCAATGGCAGAGGTGAAAAAGAATTCAGTTCAGTCTCCTATTACCTGTGGATAGCTAACAATAAAGCAATAAAAATAAAGCAACCCATGCTATTACTTAAATTAATAGTTATCATCCTGGATCAGAAGGATCAAATTCAGTGGTTTACATTGGTGTCTTTGCTTTCAGACAAAAAACCAGCCCTTTAAAATACTGAATATCTCCCTTAAAATTTGCTAGCTTTCTAAAGCCAGCAAAATGCTTAAAGCATTTGACATGTTTAGATATTTTGCTTTCCTCTTGTCATTACATATGCAATAGTCTGTGCCCTGCAGCAAGAAGTAGGTTGAAATGGATACTTGCAGTAGCATGCTGTCATAAAGACATTAAAAAACAGTTGGAGCATTTTCTAAGATCAGGAAAAAGCACCAATTTAAGATTATCTCATCCTTTTACTAACTGAACCAGGGTCAGTTTAAGCATAAAATGTAAATAAAATAATTCAGTTCAGAAGTGATGCAATGACAGGAAGTTAGAAGCAGCAAAATGTGTCTGATCTTCTGAAACATGACCCCTGTGAGAACACCAGTTTTATCTTGTTCTACTTAGCCTGTGATCTATTACTGGAAGCACTGGTTTCCCCCCCCCCCAACTCTGGGAAGCAGATTCCCTCCCTCTGACAGTTCTGAAAGGTTTATTCCACTATTGAACTTGTTTAGATCTTCCCAGCCAAGGCTTAAGAAAGGGATGTTCAATCTTCTCTAGTGAAACAATAGGCAATGATAAGAAAGAGAATGCAGTGTCATAATGATGCACTTCCCAAAGCTTTGTAATTCCCTGATATTCAATACAAAAGGCATTGTTTAAACTGGAAATGCCAGTTTCAGGACTAAATGAGCAGTAGGATGCAAGCACCAAAACAACACGTGGTAAATAATTCAACTTAATATCATTCAGGAGTATTAGTTTGATTGTGTGATTTGTGAATCCAACAAGAATATAAGAACTAGTCAGATTTATGAAGTATGATGTAGTAAGGAATATGAATATCCTGAAAAAGATGGTTCAATAATTAATATCACCAGCTCCAAATTACTAATTAGAATAAGAATCTTCCTTCTTAAGGAAGCCAGTAGGACTGTTCATATATATTTTTGTCTTGTTATATACAAAGTAGACAATACATAAAGCATTAATATATTTTACATTAAATTATTTTTTTCTTCTTCTATGTAAAGAAATCTTAAAAAAAAATTACATATCCATTTGGGCCCTGGGATGCTACAATTGCATTTGTGTGTGTTTAGGGCCCTTTTTTTTTTTTTTTTCCTGCTCACCCAACTACCCCGAGGAAAAAAAAAAAGAAAAAAAAAAAGGAAAGAAAAAACAACTTCACTTTCTATTTTTGTAAGCACTGGAGAATAAAATAAGAAGCATTCATACAGCAGAACACAAAGGATAGTTGTACATCCATGTATCAATTACTCCCTGACTGACCAGGAAACTACTTGATTTTCTTTAGAGCAACACAGAAAACAACAAAATCAGTGTAACCCATTTATCATATGCACAGTATTACTTTTACTCACCAGTAAAAGTATTTGGGGTTTACCAACTAAAGCCACAGCAGTAGAGAGTTTCCTCTTTGTGCCAGCACTGTATGTCCTCACCAGTTTGTCAGCATGAGCATTGAGATGTAGCCGGTTAACAAGGTCCTCTGAAACCTGTGGTTTAGAAATTTGAAGGCCAGCAAATATGAGCCAAATTAGGTAGTGTTTGTGCTTAGACTGAAAGAACACTCTGTTCATGCGTATTAAGCAAATGTACATGTTGTTTCCTTATTTACCCCCATTTGCTGCATATTATTACTTTTGAATTCTAGAAACATATAAAAAGCTGCTCCAGGATCCCTTAGTTCTCCACAAAGGATAAGGATTTTTTTATATAGTAAATTTGGCTGTGTCATTGCTTTTAATAGTTATTTGCATTCATTTTGTATTGATGCGTCAATGATCTAAAATGTTCCTCACTTCTTCTTGTTCTCCAGTATTTATTTGTTCAAACTTCTTCGTGACTGAAAATTATGGAGAGAAAATTCTACATCAACCACAAAAAGATGGAAATGGCAGAAAAGCAAGTCACAGGTCAAGCATTTAGAGTTTCTTAAAGACAAAAGGTAACTTAGGGTTAAATTAGCATACCTTTCTAATAACTGAGAGGGGTAAGTTGACCCTAGCTGGTTTGGTTGTAATTGCTTAAATAAGTGTGTGTGATCTGCGTAAGCTGGGCAGGCACATGAGCACAGCTGGAGACAATATTCATGCTGTCCTCTATGGCCTTTCTTCTTTACCTGTCAGAGACAGTCCTAATGTACAAGGCTCCCTCAAATACTGGTGCTAGAGAATTTTAAGTGTAGCAAGAGCCTTGCTCCACCTGTATCAACTGTCACTGCTGGACCATCCGGAGACACCTCTGCAAAAACATGAGGGACACAGCAGCGACTTTTCTACTCACTGCTGCCAGACACACCCTGCAAAGCAGCAGGTGTTTAGTGACATGCTGCTGGATGGCTCTATCATCAAGGGGTGATCAAATTTGTAATAGAGCCAGTCTGTCTTCAACCTGGATGTACACACAGCTGGGAGATTCTTGTAAAACAAGTAGTTGTGTGGTGCTCCATTGCCTGAGATCAACTGACAGAGCATCCCCAGCAGTAGGGTGCATTCTTCTTGCTCCCTCTGCACTACCTTCAGCAAAAAGCAAGGAAGGACTGGAAGGATGAGTTAGATCAGATGGACAGCCTCCATTCAGAAAATCCAATAGAAAAAAAATATCGATAAATAATATTATGAATTAATATTCACTATTTCCAACAAATTGCTGTAAGCATAGTAATATTTTTTATAAGACAGTTTTATGCAAACTCTTTAGGAAATGATCGAGATATTCGTGACTCTTTTAGCAAGATTTTTCAGTGCTACATAGGAAAATAAGAGACACGTCCGAGAGCAAGTTCTCTGTAAGCCGGAACAACATTGCAGTGGTGAGAATCCGCAATATTCTAGTGTGGATCCTGGCACTAGTATTAACAGTCGCTTGTGTTCAGCGTACCTTAATGTATAACCCGACAGCAACGCATGTTCTCAGAGAAAAGCTAAATTTCATAAATATTGCTCTGACTACATTAAATGCAGAAAGTTTTTTTTAAAAAAAAACTTAATCAACAATGATTAAACCATCCACAGGTAATTTTATATTGAAAAGTTCAAGTCTTCTGCTATTTCAGACTTAATTCACAGTGGTTTACTTTCATTTAGACACTATTGCTGCATATCAGTAGAAGTGCTGCAAATTCAAACATTCTGTGGGTTTAGGAACAGTCAAGCATCTAAGCTATATTCTAAGATATAATAGCTGAGCTTTTTGGGGGTTTTTTGGTGTTGCTTTTCTTTTTTACTTCCAAACATAGGTCTCATTATACACCAAAACAGCCTGTAAAGCGAACACCTCTAAAGCATATGGTAGACAGCTTATCCACTCTACTAAACTGACTTGACTTTACTACAACTGCGAATGCATGCCTGTTAGTGACAACAGGATTATCCTTCTACAAATCCACCACCAATATACACAGAATTGCACAGAAAAGCTCATAAAAAATTAAGACCAGAAAGAGAAAAAATGTGTGATCTCTTGTTTACAACAAAATTAACATATATTGCAAACTACAACAGGTTTCAAGAGTTATTAAACAATAAGGAAAAGTGGACTACGTATCTCAGCTGAAATGTAGTAAAAACTATCCTTTAGCTATGACCAGAACCATTATTTCTAAGACCACTTTGAAGTGTTACCAAAACTCTTAGTCTAAGTCAGCAAAATGCCATTCTTTGAAAGAGACAATGAACGCTGCACAGGGAAGAATTTAGAAAGCCAAGGAATAGTGCCAGAGAGAGAATAAAAAAAACATTCAAATAAGCTAAGTCTTATTGTAGTCTGTAGCCCCCAAGGAGACTGAATCATGTATCAGATATGAACATAATGCTCTTTGTAGGGAGCAATATTAAAAAGAATTGACTTTTCAAGATTTACAATTCTACACTTAGAATCCTCCCAACTATCTGGTATGTACTCAAGCATTCAGTGCACAGATACTCATGACTACACAATCTCCCGTTTTGTACAAGGAGAGAAAGCCTGTCAAGTTCTCTGCTACAGGAATTTTGCAAGACAAGGTTTAGCTAAGGTAAAAAGAGAGGAGTGGGAATCATTTCACAGTGCGCACTTTGCTGCTGCTTTGAATATGTAGAGCTTCCAAGATAAACCTTGCAGATCATTGCAGTGCACACCACAATCTGCCTTGATATCTAGATACACTTCTTTGGTGCAAAATGTATCAAATTAGAACAGATTTGGAGCTGAATCACATCAGCAACATAAAGGCAGAAGGATTAACCAGCTTTCTTACTCCTAATAATTTCCCAACTGCACCTAAAAAATATCCTATTACTGCTGCACACCTCATTTCATTCCTTACATTTCAAAGGAGCACTGCAGAGCATGCTTCAGCAAATATAGGAATATAGGGCTCATTCTTCTTTCAAGAGATGACCCCAAACCTTTTTCTCATTTCTTTAATGTATATCATAAGATTTCCACTAATACCAGTCTCAGCTTCATCAATATGACAATAACAAAAATGTCATTTGAATGAAATTAGAAATATTATGGTTTAGATATACTGTGGAGGAGCCTGCACAGCCTCCATTATAACTTCATTTATTGGTACAATCAGTGGTATCTTGCAGTTTGTATCATAGTATACTATAACGACACCAAGTTGGACGACACTAAGTTGGGTGGAAGTGTCGATCTGCTGGAGGGCAGGAAGGCCCTGCAGAGGGACCTGGACAGGCTGGATTGTTGGGCCAGGGCCAACTGTATGAGATTCAACAAGGCTCAGTGCCAGGTCCTGCATTTCAGTCACAAAAAACCCATGCAATGATACAGGCTTGGGGAGGAGTGGCTGGAGACCTGTCTGGCAGAAAAGGACCTGGGGGTGTTGGCTGACAGCCACCTGCACATGAGCCAGCAGTGTGCTCAGGTGGCCAAGAAAGCCAACGGCATCCTGGCTTGCATCAGGAATAGTGTGGCCAGCAGGACCAGGGAGG